CGACTACTATGACTACTATGACTACTATGACGACTATGAGTACTATGACTACTATGACTACTATGACTACTACTACTACTACTACTACTGCTGCTGCTACTACTACTACTACTACTTCGACTACTACTCCTACTACTACTACTACTACTACCACTACTACTGCTACCACTACCACTACCACTACGACTACTATGACTACTATGACTACTATGACGACTATGAGTACTATGACTACTATGACTACTATGACTACTACTACTACTACTGCTACTACTACGACTACTACTACTACTGTTCAGAAAAATCTGGGAGTACTTACTGTTACCATAATCACTTGTCTGCAGGGCATGCAAGTTTATGTTGATGGTACGAAACTGACACAGCAATGCCTGTCGACAGCTGTAGGCTCGGCCACCATCGCCAGTTAGCTTCTGTTGCAAAGCCGGATTACCCAGCTACAACTCCAATGAAGCTTCGGCTGTCTTTGCTATTCCTTGCAGTTGGTTGGTCCATGCAATTGGCAACAGCTGGGAGCCCAGCCCCTGCGAAACAGCAGAGGCGACCAAGCATGGATTCTACGGCCCATCGGTGCACAAGAGCATGATACTGACAAGGAGAAACGACTGCAGGCGTGTCCCGGGCTGCCAAAGGTACTTGTCGCGACCTGCTGTGCTGTGTATATATAGATACTCACATACCTATAATACACAACGTTCTCAAGTCCATCCAGCCAGCCGTGCAAGACGCACTCTCTCTCTCTCTCTCTCTCTCTCTCTCTCTTGGCTATTTCATCATGCTTCTCCTTATTTTGAGCTGCATGGGCTGCAACAATTGGAGGCCAACATGCATCTTCAATTTTACAGCATGCTAATCAACATGCCGAAGTCTCAATGACATCGGGTACGCGCTTCCACAGAGCAGAAAACACCTGGTCAGCTTCGTGTATACCTGGCGCCAGGGGCATCGCTCAGCAATCTTTTTGAACCCCCTGCTGCCTCTCTGTATTGAGCCCTCTTTGGCGCCCAAGAAACCCGCATCTCCAGCGCACTCCTCTAGGGATCCTAAACCCACCACGACTTTCGACAGCTTTCAGCGGCTTACCTTAAATCTTCACCACTGAGCCGTCTTTGGCGCTCTTGTACATGGCATCAATGGTTTCAACCACCAGCCGCCCGATCGTCGCATCCTGTGCAGGAGCGCGGCGCTGTGAGCCCCATCCCGTGTGAAGAGATACTTCCAGGGATCCAGACATGGCGCAGGCAAAAAGGGGATGTGAATTTGTCGTCAGCAACAGGTCTTCAGAATCCCAATCGACCTGCAACTGGCGGACTCTCGAAACCCGCCAAACCAGGCCCCCCCAAAACGCGGAGACATCGAGCCAAGCTGCGGCGGCATTGATCACGTCCTCGCCTTTGCAAGCGGCCAGGAAGGACTGCAGAGATTCGGGTCCATGGCCCTCCTTCCTTGGCTGGCGACCAGATATATGATATATGTGTTCCTGCTATGGAGGATGGGTCGGGCAGGTATGTAGGTGATCTAGGGGTTCCGGGCGATGAAGAGGAAGAGGCTGGAGGGAGTGAGTGATCATGCCCAAATCCCAGAAAACATCACGGCAACGGTCCTATGCCCAAGACTTACCCAAAGCCATCCACGGCACCCACCCCGAGTCTCTCAGGAAAGTCTTCGTTCTGCAGACCATGCTGTATCAACCTTGCCTACCGATCCAGTATGATGCTGATAGAACTAATCTTGGAACTTCAGGCTTCAGGCTTCGAAACTTCTATGGAATCGCAGGCAGGTGACGAGGTGTTCTCAAAGAAGAAGCCGTCCTGTGGCTAAGCCCTATGAACGAGCTTGGCGATGCGCTGGCAGAAGCACGCAGGAGCATCAAGGCATCGCTACTGAGGCCTCTCTGAAGTCCCAAGATCCGTATCACAACCAAATCTCATACAGGCAAACGCACTCCTCGAACCCTCCCAGAACCCAAGAACCGCCCTGTCCTCGACTACCACCTTCCCATTCTCTAGGAGCAGCTCCAGCTTGCCAGAGCCAGGATCCGCATCATCTCCGCTGTAGAGCAAGCACCCCTCCGAGCCAAAGATCCTGGGAGCTGCGGGCATTTGCCGAGTTCAAGGGCAGCTAAGGGTTTAGGGAAGTTTAGGGCTACCGAAGGAGAAGCAAGAGGTTTCGTGATTGCTTCAGGAAGCCGAAGGCTTTCCGATCTTCCGGTGGTGAGGGTTGGGATTAAGAGGCAGCTACACAGAAGCTACACCCTCTTGGTGTGGTCATGCAGACCGATGGCTCCATGGCTCCACGCCGGCTGCTTGAGACAAGGGGCTTGTTCTCGATCAGCTTGCCTGACCAACGGCGCATGCAATGTTTTATGCCGCGCTGTTTCAACCGAGCCTTTGAAACTTTATATGTGGGCATCATTGCTCTTCACTGCTGGCTTTCGTGAGTTCTGCTCGTCTCGGGCAAAGATGTCTTGAAACCTGTAGTGAGGAACTCGGAACCTGACATGCTACGTGACGCCACTTCATCAGTCTGCAGTCTGCAGGTCAGCTGTTGCACATTACTTGATGACGTAAGCATCAACATGGGACTCGAGCATCAGCGGGGAAACACAATCCATCAATCGGAACAAAGACCCTCGAAGCATCCACAGAATCCACACTGGCCCACACTTCAACTCAAAACTGGGCCATGCTGGGCCTTTCTTGGACGCGGAACCGACGGCATTGCCACCCGGCAAACCGGCCAGGCCCTGGCAGCAGATCCTCAGATTCGCAGCGTTGAAAGCGAGAAGTCATCCCAATGCAAGCGGCCTCTGAGGGGATCCATACCTCCTCCCACAGAATGTCGAGCCGATCGCGAAGGGACATGCTCTCTGCAGGATTCCGAAATCTGCAGCTTGCAGCTGACTGATTGGAAGTACATAAGAAGCCAGAGGCAGAGTCATCGTCGAAACCATACTTCGATGGCAGGACTGCATGCGAATCGTACGTGAGCCCCGCTGCAATCGAATGTAACCGACAACTACATCAGAGAGGGTGTCTTGACACTGAGCTACTGCGATGCTCCTGAAAGGCATGGCTTTACACAGGGTCCGCACACTAAGACATCGTTTCAGCTAACTTGGTCCAAGGTTCGTGGCTCCATTGGTGCACTGGATCAGCGCCGACGTGAAGATGTCCGCGCCCGTCTTCTTGGAGTAGGTCATCTTGCAGAAGACGCTTTCGGGCTCTAGCCCGGTGACCCTGTAAACCTCGGTCTTCGGATCTCTTCGGAGTTTGTAGTTCTGAAAGCACGGACCAGCTCCATACACTCACTAACGAGTTGGTTCATGGCGCGCAAACAAAACCTCTTCTGAAAAAGGCCCCTCCCTCTACCTGCCTGGACCTCGTTGCGCCCCAGCCTCCCTGACACCCCGGTGCCAGCATTTTTGCAGAGGGGCCCAGGCCAGGGTGTGACAGCTCTGCCCCCAAGCAAACCTGAGCTTCGAGAGATCAGCCGAGATCATAGCCTGGTTACCGGCTGGGCTCCATCGAGATGCTTCAGGCGCTATAGGCTGCTGTCATTCTAGCGGCTTGCTTCCCCGCACTATCTTACCAAGAAAGAACCTTGATCCCGTAGCTGTGAACGTTTTCAACATCACCCCAAGTCTGACAGCACTCCAAACCGAGGAACCCTGTTGGCACTATGATCCCAACATCCCAACTTTGCAAATCCGCAGACCGAGCCCAGAAACCCATTTCCAGTCATGGACCCCTCGGCGGCCACCCAAAGCCGATTCTCCGGGTCTTCGAAGAACTCCCGCTCTCTGATCATGTAGCCTCGCTTCGACTCTGGGTTGAAGGTCGTGTTGAAGATATGGGCATCCCATATGGAGACTATGTATCTGTCTAGGGTGTATACTATAGAGTCCTGAACACCTCAAACCCGTCTTGACCCAAAGCCCTGCCTAGGATCCTACGAACTCCTAAGCCGCCCAGGGGCAGGTCACGTGCTCGATCTCCCCAAGGTGGCTCTGCACCAACTCACGGGCGCGCACTGCGTGGCGTGTGAAGTTGGCAGAGTGGTTCCTCAGCTTTGCAGCTTCTGCTTGTGTTGAGGAGTTTTGAGGGTTCAAGGCCAAGTTAAGGGGTGTAGAGTACATTGGGAGTTGGCTTACAAAGGGAATTTCGGGCTGTCTAGTTAGATTTACAAAGCGTTGGAGGTTGGGGAGTAGGCCTCTACACGGCTGGATGTCTGGGAATCGGGACTTAGGCTCCATGGCGGCACTGGTTTGGGGCTGAGGGGCTTCCTTGCAACTTCTTGGTCTTGCCGGGGCACACCATGAAGGCTTTCCCCAACGATTTCCTCGGCCCGGCAAGGCTTGGGCAACACATAGTTCGAATGGGTTGGTTCTGTGAACCGAATTTCATGGGGTGCTCGCATGACACCCTTCGACCGTCGGATTGTGCCCGTACGACTGAGCGACATTACGTGGATCCAATTTCGGGGTGTCATGCTGCTGTACAGGAACCTTACTTGCAGCAGGAAGCCGAATAGGCTCGGAGTCCGACAGCAGCCGCGGGCACGCTTATTGCACTAAATTCCACTGTCCACCTACCCCTTAAATCCGCTATACACCGACCTACTCTCGACGCTTCAGTGCAGGTGTCAGTCGTTCGGCAGCGGCCGCGAGTTCCGCAGCCTCTGCAGCATTGGCCGTCATCGGCTTCCTGTCACAAGCTGGCACGCAGTTATTCTTGCCTCTATGGATGGCGGCAGGAAAGCTGTTGAAACTGCTGCTTGATGACGATTCCCTGACTGCACTGAACATTTCCATATCTGAGTCCAGGCTGCTCCACAAGGATGTGGAAGCCGGATGCTGCCGCCTGCAGTCCTGCTTCGTGACGCCCGCATCTTGTCTAGCATGGACGGCAGAATTAAGTTGACTATGCAAGCTGCTGCACCCTTCCACTATCCGATGGTATCCGGTTCCCCTTGCCAACCACTGTCATGATCACACAATCTGCAACTCACACAGGGTCGGCTAGGGGAGAGATCACCTCACTCCAACGCACACCCAAGAATTGCGCCGCAGGTCATCACCAAATTTCGGCTTGGCCAAGCAGGACCCTGCCTAGTTGACAATGGGTCGAGTGCGTGGAGGATATGATGACACCATCCGTCGTCTTGGCGATGTCTGACTGCAGAAACTCGGCAAAGCCTTTGAACAAAGGCACCTCAGTGAATTCGACAGCCACTGTAGATCTAACATATACACACAGGTACATATAGGTTCAGTCTATATGTGGACGAATCAAGCGAACTTTGCGAACACTCTTAGCACTCAGCCTCAAAACTAAGCTGAGATAGGGCTGCTCTGACAGATCACCTGTTTTCACGACGCTCTTGTTGCAGACGGGCCTCTCCATAGAGTGCTGCCAACTCGGGTGTTGGCATCATGTCTAAGTTGTATTTGCTCCAGGTCCTTTCGGCAGGGTCAACGATGGCCACCAGCTGTGCAGCTGGATTGCCTCGGATGCTGCACCCTCCCGGTGGGGCGGGGGAGGGCGGTTTTGGGGGGGATCACGGAGGAATTCGGCAAAGTGTTGTTGAAAGCTATCGAAGGAAGCACTGATTCCGACAAGATGCATCGCAGGTGCGGGAGGTGCCATCCCTGCCACACACAACAAGATTGAAATCTAAGCGCTGTGCATCCTGTAGCACAGTTGACAAACAGGGCTTCAGCATATTCTGCGAACTTACGAACCTCACATCGAAACTGACAGACAGCATTGCATGTTCCTGAAGCTGGTATAGTACATGTGCATGCTTGTCGTGCCTGTGCCCAGGAGCCAGCACCAACAATAGCAATGCGTGCCCTGAAGCGCGCGGAGCGCAAAGGCTTTTCGTAAGGTCAACATGTGAAACGAAGCTGCGTTGTTGGGCTCGAAAGCCTAGTCATCGGGGGTCCAAGTGGACATTCACATCATTGACATCTGTAGTTAATTGCAGATCAAACAGGTATACGAGTACAAGGTCGAGAACGTCTCCCTTCCTGGGGCCGAGCTGTTCGTCCATCAGAACTATAAGTGGGAACTGTCAACTTATTCTGAGGATGTCGCTGGCTCTCCGTCGAGCTCACATCCTGCACCACAGGGCAGGATTCAACCATGCAGAGTTTCAGAGGAGTTTTCGTTGGGGTCCGATGTGAAAACATAGCAAGAGCTAGGTGTGGTCAGGAGTGAGCCTCGAATTCTCAAGCTTCGAGTTGGCAGTTCAGGGGCATGGGGGTTTTCTGAGGGACCTTGCAATCTCAAATTCTTCGTCGGGAAGTCGCAGGTCAGGACCAGGAAAAGCTCGCATGCAGCTGGCTCAGACCTGTAAATTGCACACTAGCCTTCGCACGGGAACCCCCACTCTCCCAACTTTGAAACAGTGAAGACCCAAACATGCCTATCCCCACGCTCTAAACCCCAAATACGCAAAGTCCAAAAGCCCTGGCCCTGCATGCCTAAAACCCTAACCCCAAAAGACACACGCACACACAACACAAAACACACAAACAACAAACCTTACATCCCTGCACCACCCAACACCCCCCACCCCTCTACTTGGAACCCTCATGGTTGGGCTTTGCGGAACAAGCCTGCAAATGCCGAAAACCCCGACATTCACAGCTCCGAAACCCTAAACCTAAGACTGCACATCCCCAAACTCGAAACCCGAAAGCCCCAAACTCCAAACCCCAATTCAGCCCTAAACCCAAAGTTTACCGAACCCTGAAGCCAAGATAACCAAATCCCAAACCCCACAGAATCAGTACGGAACTCCCCTCCCCGATACAGCCGTGATTTCCTCACCGGTGCCTTCGGGGCCTCGGCACCCGCAGCCTCACCCTCTGGGGGCGGCCTCAGAAAAGCAAACGAAGCCCGAATGCTCTTGAAATGAACAACGAAACAGATGTAGCTGCAATCAGAAAAGAAATAACAACAGATATAAATCCTACTGGAAATCTAGCTAGACTTACAGTAAATAATTACACATATATATATATATATATATAACCAATAAAAACTAAACTAAACACATTGCATATACACATATATATATATATATTATACATGTATATTATGTATACACTTGCTTTCATATTTATTTATTCGATATGCTTTTTCATTTATGGTACAGACGGACACATGGACGAACAGACGGACAAACAGACATGTGTGAACATCTACATATATGTATAGATGGATATATACATATGTGCATACATACAACTCTCTCTCTCTCTCTCTGTCTTTCTCCTTTGGAGGAAAGGCTTCAGGACCTAGAGCTTCAGGGTTTTGGGGTCTAGAGCGCTAGGATCTTCTGGTTGAGGGCTTCAGGGTTTCGGGGGTGTAGGCCTTTGGTGCGTTTTCTGGCTTAGAGCTACAGAGTTGGGGGATTTGGGGTTGCCTGACTCTGAGCCTCGGTCTGTTCGGGCACAGAAGAAGCTCTCCTTCAAGTAACAGTTTGAACAGGGCTTCGGGTGGCCGTTTTCTACACTTGTACGGCATTGGCGTTTTTGAAGAATTCCTAGCGAGTGCTTCAGAATATGCATACTTAGGTCTACCGAAATCGACAAAGCACGCCCAACAGCGGAACACTTGAGGCAGCAGCAAGCCCCGAGTGAGCCGGCAAATGCTTTGATGGCCACGCCACTGGCCAATGGATAAAGGTGCCAAAATTTTCGGTTGTGGATGCTTGTTGGGCGGCTTTGGAAAATGAGAGCCCATTACCACTTGTCTGTTACTGCCAGCTTTGCTTTTACTCCACGGCCAGACTGACGAGAGAATGAAAGACCGACGTCCGAGTGCGCGGATGGAGAACAAAAGGCAACATCTTCAACTTAGGCCCATTTGGACGACTGCAACCCATCCTGCCAACGCCGTGGCCACCAACACCACCACCACCACCACCACCACCACCACCACCACCACCACCACCACCACCCTAGACCATGAACTATAGCCCCCAAACCCCCAAAACCCATAACCCCCAAACCGCAAACCCTGAACCCGTAAACTGCGAAACGCCTGAAAACCAAATGCCGAACCCCCCCCCCCCAAACCGACAAACAGACGATGTTTTGCCCTCACTGCAAAGGTGCTGCTGGTGGGCACGATCCTATATCTGGGACCAAGGCCTGCTCCGGAGTGTGGTTAATGCCCCTAAAGCTTGAAACCTTAAATCATCAAGAAGAGAAGAGCAAGCAAATTTACAGAACCACGCTAGAACCCGTTATAAGGATAGAACCCCAAACAAGAAGAGAACCAGACCCCTTTGGGTAGACTTGTAAGTAGACGCCTTGTATACAACACCAAAAAAAGCTCGGTCGAGAGGCCTCCTGTCCGACAGCATCGCCAGCCCGTTAGTCTCAGCAGGCGCCGGCTTGGAAGAACTCCGTAGCGACTTTGAGGCTGAGGGTTTAGGGTTTAGGGTTTAGGGTTTAGGGTTTAGGGTTTATAAATAGGGTTTAGGGTTTAGGGCAGCGCCACTTCGATACGACCAAAGCAACCAACAGCAAACAACGAGCAACGAGCCTCGCCTTGTGCCTTCAGGCCGGGGACAAGTGATGGTTTGAGGCTCGGGGCCTACCTGACCAATCTGAGGGCTTCCTACTGTAATTACCAAGTATATATATATATATATATTTATTTATTTATTTATTTATATGTATATATATACAGGTGCATACATCCATACATATATCTATATTGACTCTATATACATATATACTGCAAATATAAATAGGCTCTGTGAAAATACAGGCTTAACATGATTGAACTCTAGTTGGGACTCGGGTTTTGGGCTTCAGGCTTATGGGATAGGATCCCATGCTTGGCTCAATCAACTTGGCTTTGGTTTCCATGATTGTTAAAGGATGTTTAGTCTGAGAGTTTAAAAAGTTTAAACGTTTAAGGGTTTGGGATTTGCCAGGCTCCACGATGCCAGCCCAGCGCAAATTTGGCTGCGGGGGACGCGCGGATCTCCGAGCCCAAGCACGAATGCCGAGTGACAGTAAGAGTTGATTGCCTGGCATGAATGAGTGTTTCATGAAGCAGCGAGCTTCGTACCTTTTGGGCACTGCATGCAGTATGTGGAGATGCTGCTAAGGGCTGACCTGGCTTCGCAGGGGAATTCTAGGCAGTGGTGCCCTCCCTGAGCACACTGCTCAACTAAGGCCGAATCAGACTTCCATTTCGGGGACCTGCCGCAGGCTTGTCATAGGCAGGGAACATCTGCTCCCAGTGCTCGTCATCCGCCGGATCGACCTCGCGCCCTCCTTGGCGTGAAGTGGGCCAGCCGGACGCCCTGTCAGCGCCGTTGTCGAAGGCACTGCGAACCATGAGGTGCAACTCAAGCGCCTTCGGCTTGGCAACTTCCGTCATGATCCGTGTCTGCAAAACGTCATCTGTGACCGGGTCGTGACTCCACCCTGGACTTCTTTCCAAGAAATCGCGCCACAGTTTGCAGTGCTTCAGGAAGCGCTCTCGGTTGCTCGCCTCACTGCCCTTGGCAGCTGCCATCAGATCGTCTGCAGCATTGGACAGCAGCTGCGAGCCCCAGCCCAACTGGACGGACTTCTGCAACATCGAGCCGGACCGTCCCTGCATCTCACGAAGGCGGAGCTTGGTCATGAAGCAGTTGTATCGCTGCAAGCCCTCTGCCACCGTCGGACTCTCCAGCATGCGGACGATGGCCTTCACGCTCTTCAGGCCTGTGTTGAGCCCCCGACCTGGCCAGAAGTGGTGAGAGATGGCGGCGTCACCCGCAAGGAGCAGCACCCGCCGCTGCCGATCAGAGCATCCTTCTCCTGGCAGGACGTGGCAGAAGTGTTGCACGTAGGCCGGCATCAGCTGAAAGCCCGTGATGCCCAACATGTGTTCTGTGCGCATCCCGAAAAGCTTCAAGCCTTCCTCGATGCGGCGCCTCAGCCATGGGAGCTTCACTTTATGGAAAGCATTCACGTCGTCAGCATCGAGAGACTCCTCCAACTTGAGCCGGATGGGGCTTCCAAAAGTACAGCCTCTCTGGCCCGTTGCCCGGTAAATCTCATCATACTCCTCTTTCGTCACGCGGATGTTGAGAAAGCCCTTGGAACCCCTCTGCGAGTTCAAGAGATAGACGTTCTGGGCGAGGGTGAAGATCACGTTCAGGGACTGCTCCTGGGGAGGGCGAACATCTTGCTGCAAAATGATGCCCAAGACATGGTCTGCATGGGTGTAGCCCTCTTCTGTCTCCGCTAGCCGGATCCGCTGCTCTTCGTTGCTAAAGCCCCTCGAATGTGGGCACGCGAACTTGTCTGGGAATGCACGCCTCGAGAGAGAGGCAGCACCGTCTGCAGCCACAATGAAATCCGCTGGCAAGGCCTGGATGAATTCAGCTTGGTCTTTTGTTTGGGAAAAGCGCTCTGACTTCTCGATGCGGATATACTTGGAAAAAGGGGCTGCCTGCGCCTTGCGAAGCAGCTTGTCCTCAATCTCGGCCACGGGGACGTTCCGGGAGTGAAGCCACACGCGCTCCCCCTCAAAGCAAGTCTGGACTGCTGCGGAAAACAGCTGCACCACCGCATCCTGCACTGTTACCACCTGGTCCCTGGCACGACCTGCTGGATTGCGCTTCCACCCACCGCCCTCCGACTGAACGAGCCAGCGACTTTCGTAGACCGTGATAAGAGGCTCTCTAGGAGGCTCTGCTAACCCAGCATCTATCTGATATTTTGCCAACGATAGGGCCAAGGTCAATCCCACGGGGCCCGCGCCGACGATGGCCCAGCGGCTCCACCGAGAGATCTGGCCGGAAACTGATCGCAGGTCAAGGAAGCGGTTGTAGAACCACGCGGCTTTTGGTTGGCTCTGCGGACTTTGCAGAGACTCGGGTGCCAGCTTCAAGGCCTGGTCGAAGTCCGCGATGGCCTCCCCGTACTTGCCTTGCTGGCACTTGGCCTCTCCGCGGCTTTTCATTGCCAAAGCATCTTCTGGCGACAGCTTCAAGGCCTGGTCGAAGTCCACGATGGCCTCCGCATACTTGCCTTGCATGCGCTTGGCCTCTCCCCGGCACTTCAGTGCGAAGGCATCTTGCGGTGCCAGCTCCAAGGCCTGGTCGAAGTCCGCGATGGCCTCCCCGTACTTGCCTTGCTGACACTTGGCCTCTCCCCGGCTTTTCATTGCCAAAGCATCTTGTGGTGCCAGCTCCAAGGCCTGGTCGAAGTCCTCGATGGCCTCCCCGTACTTGCCTTGCTGACACTTGACCTGTCCCCGGCCTCTCAGTCCGAAGGCATCTTGCGGTGCCAGCTTCAAGGCCTGGTCCAAGTCCGCGATGGTCTCCGCATACTTGCCTTGCATGCACTTGGAATATCCCCGGCACTTCAGCGCGAAGACATCTTCTGGCGCCAGCTTCAAGGCCTGGTCCAAGTCCGCGATGGCCTCCCCGTACTTGCCTTGCTGGCACTTGGCCCCTCCCCGGCTTTTCATTGCCAAAGCATCTTCTGGCGACAGCTCCAAGGCCTGGTCGAAGTCCTCGATGGCCTCCGCATACTTGCCTTGCATGCGCTTGACCTCTCCCCGGCCTCTCAGTCCGAAGGCATCTTGCGGTGCCAGCTTCAAGGCCAATTCGAAGTCCACGATGGCCTCCGCGTACCTGCCTTGCCGACGCTTGGCCTCTCCCTGCCACTTCAGCGAGAAGGCATCTTGCGGTGCCAGCTTCAAGGCCTGGTCGAAGTCCGCGATGGCCTCCGCATACTTGCCTTGCCGACACTTGGCCTCTCCCCGGTGGTTCATGATGGCCTCGGCATCTTGCGGTGCCAGCGCGAAAGCATGTAGCCAATTCCGGATGCACAAGAGAGCTGCCGCCGTTTTGAGGCCCCCGGCATGCAGCTCTGAAGCCTCGGGCTCAGGAGGTGGGTTTTCGAGAATCGGAACAGTCGCAGTGAAGGGCAGCAGATTTTCTATCAAGCCTTCTCAGAGGTATTGACATCCAGTACGTTGCTTGAAATTAGGTCCTTGCGTTGCCTCTGCGTGTACATGCTGTTTCTCCTCATATGTCCGCACACCCTTCGAGCTCAGTTTTGCGGGCATCTCGGGCTGGGGCTCCGACTTTCGGGCTTGCATCATGGCCAAATACAGCACCCATGGCGGCAGAGAGATTTTGTGTTCAGGCTGCCGAGGTTGAGCAGTGTCTGCTTAGATGACTCTGTCTTGTCAGCGGATACACTTCACTCTCAACCCCAAAGTCTTAAAGAGCACCATGAGAAGGGCATGCCGAAGTGCGGTGCATCTGGGTAGCAGACTACAAGGCTGCGGAGCACTTGAGGCGTCTCTACGCCTCCATGCTTCGCAGTTTATGGGCTTGACGGCAGCAACAAAGCCAGATAAGAAGTCTCGGGCGGTCCTGTTGCGATCTAAGGTATCTAAAGTCCAGCTCGAGGCGGATGCACACTTTTTGCTCCACATGCTCTGCGCACTTCGCAAGTCTGAGGCCTCGATGCCAGAAAAACCTGAAAACTTGTTGCTGGATCGCACTTCAATGGTGCCTGAGCTGTTCCTGCCTTCTGAGCCTCAATCCTGGAAACAAAGCGAGGAAGGCCCTTGAAGTACCCAGCTCCAGCGCACTGACATTAACAGCAGCATATGAAACGTCACGAAACAGTGCACATGGAGGACTTCGACGCTAGACAGGTCTTGTGATTCAGATGGCTTCAGGTCTGACTTAGGCGTATCGTTATCATGTTCACTCAGGGTGCAAGTTCCATTTCGATTCGCGTCCTCTTCGCCGCTACATCGGCACGAGAAATAGATCATGTTCAAAACTCGGCAGCAGCAGTTCGCACGGAGAGCAAGCCGGATATTCTTAAGAGCATGTCATGACCTCGAGCACATCGCAAAAGCAACTCAAGCAACGCGACAAGCACCGGACCTTGCCCTTGGCTTGAGATTAAGCCTTCATCTTCTGGCGCTCAGAAGTTGATGTCGTAGGCAGATCGAACATAGCATACCTGCGAAGTTTGGGAGGCCAGGCTTGTTGAAGGGTCTTGATGCTTCTGAGCTGAGGTTCGGGGGGCCAGACCTGTTTTTTACGGCATGACATGGTGCATTTCGAGGCCGTGGTGAAAACATAGACGGAGGTCGTTTTGAAGAGCCCCTGTCTCGATTGCGACTCTCCTGCCGCTGCTTTGAAGGAAACTCACCCTACACTAAGCTCTGCGTTTTGGCCGGATCTGTGCCTTTAGGGCTGGGGCCTTGCAATCGGTGCAGGAGACACGAAGTGGCAGCGCATTATTCCGCGAATTCTAACCAACCTCAGCACAGAGGACCAGATCAGGCCTTGGCTAATGATGAGCTACATAATCTGTCTTGACCCACAAACCGAAAGTCTTATAACAGATGCCAAACTTAAACAAAAACGAAATAGACCATCGGATATCTTCAAACTTCTCTATAACACCAGCTTCTGCAGCGCTTGTTGCACCTTGCCCTCCTCGTTCAACTCGTAGTAGCTGACGCCACGCGGGGACATACGCGAGTTGAACTGCATCAGGGCAGGTGACAAGTCGCCAGTCTCTCAAGCAAGGCCGGTGTTCCCCCCGCCCCAAACTCACAAAATATCTCCGTAATTACTGTATCAATATATTATGATTCTAAGGTTATAATTCCGCCCCCACAGAGTCAGACGGATCTTGTGGGGAGCACAAGTGGGGCATGGCGAGCCTCCACGTGCCACAGAACTGTGCAGGCCTGACAGTTGCAGAAGGCCGCACACTTGTTTGCAGAGGTGTGGGCAAACATTCAGCAGGTACTATCCTAGCTTCAGAAACTTCCACGAACATGAAGGCGACCGAGGCGTAAAGCAACTCTGCAACACTTGCATCTAATAGAACTAGTACAAGTCTGCAGAAGTAGGATGGCAGCCTTGAGTATCTGCAGCCGAGTTCTTTCGATGTGTGTCGAACTACAAACGGGTTCATAGTAGGTCAAACCACGATGTGCCTTGTCGCCATCAGTGACCTCATCCAAGAAAAACCTGCAAGCTGCGTGCGAACACTGCGTGGCTTGATTACATTGGTAAGCTGGGGTATAAATACCCTGTCGCAAGCAGCAGTCAGCCTCAGATTGTCAGGCGTACTGTCTTTGGTCTCCTGCTGATACCTGGCATGGCACGGAATTTGGATCAGCTCATGTCAGAAGAAGCCGTGTTGGCCGACAGTTTACTGATTCCACGTTGTGTGATACAAGTACCCTAAGGGTCCATGTACCCAAATAGTATATACTTTGGCCTTAATGTAGCCCCTATATAGGTACTTTAGGGCCAATGTATATACTATTTGGGTACATGGACCCTCAGGGGTATGGTCTTCCTGGCCTCTTCACTTCCTCGAAGCCGACGAAAGCTTCCTGCTCGCGCGACAGGTCCTGCAGATCATCCGGACCCTCCAAAGCAGGCATGCAAGAGAGAGCAAGAGACCTGTGAATGAAATCTGGTCTTGGCAGTTCGAACGGCTGCAAACAGTGCGAGTGGGACAAGCTGCAGCGTGAGCAACGGAAAGAGTGCAGGCCTACCTATGCAAGCAATTTCTTACTGAATGGTCTTGCAACTCGACAGATGAATGCATACCCCAGGTTTTGTCATGCATTCCCGGATGTGTCCTCGTATACGCAGTCCTCGCTGAACTCTGCCATTATGCGTCCAACAGGATCCACCTGCAGCAGAGCAAAATGCCAGAGTGGCACGTTTCGGGAGCAGTGTGGCAGCATCTGAGCAAATCTGCTCAGAACCGAACTTCAAGCTTGCTGTAGATTGCCTGATTGCACTGATCTCGATATTGCTTCCTCCCGTAACGCCGTAACCTGTGGTGAAACTGGACAAGTGCGCCGCGTCTGACTGCCGTCAGCAGCTCAACAGAGGGATACAACTACAGCTTTGTATCCCCAGGTGTTCTCCAACTGCACATGCATTTGTTTCCATGCCTCTGCATTTGCTGGAAACGGCCGCGCTGGCGCTACTAGGACCACTGCCGCATTTTCACGGCCGTTTTGTACAACAGGGAGATGGAGGTGTCCAGAGCTTTCAATAGATGACGGCACGCCATATCGTGACAAGTGGTGCTGAAACGCTGATCTCCAACAACATGATGAGGGACACTGGTGAGATGCACTTTCGGTCAATCCAAGTCGGGCGCAATGCCGTCAGCTCCGAAGAAGTCTCCACCAAGTACGTCCTTTAATATCCGGACATCGGGGCGCTTGTGTTGTGTCCGTTCAGTGTCGGGCAGTCCAAAAGTGCCATCCCTTCTGCCATGACAGCCATGGATTCATGTTACGCAGGAGAAACACGTACCCGTCCTTGAGGGAAACCTCTTCTTTCCCCAGCCTCTCCAGGAGCACGGCCGTCGCAGTTCTCCGGGTTCTTTTTTTTTAATGCAGTAGCCGCTTTCTCTCGCATGAGGTCCAAAGGCTCGCCCATGGTGAGCGTGCACTAACAAACAAACACCAAACTCAGCAAACTCACTCAGCTCACCTTCTACCGTCAGGGCCGTGACTCACGAGGTTGTTCACTGTGGGCAGCAGGGACCGGCCTCTCCTTCTTCTCTCTGGCTTCTTGTCTCCTGCACAAGACAAAGCAAAGGAGCATCTCTTGCAGAGGCTAGAATGCAGCGCAGTTGGCTTGTGCACTCCCTGGTTAGAAATTAGATGGTTCACCAGCTGAAAGTAGGTTGCCAACGCCGCGGATATGGCAGGCCAGGAAGAACAAACTGTCACTCCTGTATGCAGCATTTTGATGGATCGCTTACCCCTCTGTGCCAAAACTCAACACCCGCAGCCTTCCCAATCCTTCGATTTATGAAGTCCGAAACCTGGAAACTCTACTCCGGAAGCAGCAGAGAGCCGTGGCCTTGCCCGACGCTCCTCGCGGGCTGCACGCGTGGCTTCCCGCCTCGCGCGTCGCGCCTAAGCAGCTCATGTATAAAAACATGACCATGCGGCTCTGAATGCGAACCGGCACAACCCTCCTCTGCGGCCCTTCGGCTCAAAACGACCTGTGGCGATTTTCCTCCGGTAAGACGAAGGCTTCCAAGTCTTTGCGCATGCCGGCATCCACAGGCATGTAGTCCAGCCTCATGGTCTGCATGAGGTAAGGGATGTGAGGTCGAAACCGCAATCTCACCAGTCTTCAACCCCCAAGCTTGAAACGATGCAGCCTGTGAGCCTTCGGTGCCTCCCTTTGACCTGTTTTGCCCCAGAATTTGCATGCGGTACCGTATACGAAATGTCTATGTCTAGCTTTCGCCCCCCTCGTAAATCGAGAACTCTTAGAAAAGGTCGCTGGCATTCACTTCGTGGAGTTCTGGTGTATTCTCACGACTCCCACAAGAGGTAGTCGTGTATAACGTCCGTCCATTGGCGGTGCTGGCGATTTCGAAGAGCTTCTCACAGGGTCTCACACAATGCCACCCAGGCCGCACGAGAGCTGGCTGAAACGGGTGAAAGAGATGGACCAGCAGCCGCAAAGGCACAGACCGCATCCGAAGACCTCAAGCCTGATTTCCTTCTCTCAAGCCCCAGCACGTACCACCCAAACGCTACACTACAGAGCCCTAAACCTAGCTGAACCCGAGTTTGAGTCTTCGAAAGCCCTGCATGCCAAAGCACATATTGCAATTCTCGCACGGGTATCCATCCACCCCAAGAGTTCGGCAAACCCTAGCCTGCAGAAAACCTGAACAGCTTCGCGGTAAGAAATCGCATGTCCCAATCTCCTACAACTCCTGGGCTCAAGACGCTTT